TATTGTTTGAATTTAGTATTGTCAAATTAGATTAAAAATGATACATTCTTACTTTGTCATTTAACAGTATAATATCTGAAAATTTTAATTGACATCGCTGCTTTAGAAAATGGTTATAATCGAGATTCACGGACTGCAATAAAACCATAAAAAATAAAAATAAACACACACATAAAAAATGCAGCCTTATAACAATTTGACCTATTTACATATTCCAGACGTTCGTTTAAAACAAAAGAATTTTAACTTTAAAATAGCCATTGGGCCGGCACTTTATAAACTCTTTTCCAATACTAATGAAAAAGTAATATATATTTGCGCCTAGATAAGGAAAGTACATTTATGTTTACCTGTATTCTTTAAAAAGAACCAAAATGTTTTTACTTTAGTACTTACACGTAATACATTTTAAAATTGTAAATCTATAATTTCAGATGATTTGCAGTTTCTAAGTTTATATTCAATGATGGATTTTGAATATGACAGTTCGCAAACTGTTCTGAAAAACACAGAAAAACTTCTGTTGGATAATATTTTTTTGGATTTTACTGTCAAGGTTGATGACGTTTCTCTGCAATGTCACCGTATTTTTCTGGCAGCGTCGTCACATTTCTTCAGAGCTCTTTTAATGACTGACATGAAGGAGGCTAAAGAGGGTTGTGTAACGATCAATGGGATTTCACTTAAAACGTTTCAACACATTTTAAAGTCAATGTATACTGGAAAAGTTCCTTTGACGAAAGATAATTTTATAGACATATGGCAGGCAGCAGATCAACTACAGATAGACTTTATTGTTACAAACTGTGAGGATTTCGCTGCAAAGGCCATTTCCGTTGAAAACATTGAAAACGTTGTGAATACAGCTAAAGCTTTTAAATCCGAAAAAGTGTTGAATGCTTCAAAATCTTTTATGTTAGATAACTTCGGCATACTTATGAACGACAAGCCTATAATGGAGCTGGAAGTTAAAGATTTCAATGAATTGATAGATTCTCGGGATCTAAAAGTAGAAAACGAAGACTGGGTCATACAAACAGTGCTAAAGTGGGTTGAGTGTATGCCAGAAGAAAAATACAGTGGTGAAAAAGAAGAAATTCATACTGACATAGAACATAACACTTCAAAGAAAAATAGTTCCAATAATAAATTTGACAGAAGTCTTACCGCAGTCCATAAACAATCGTTGAATACAATAAATCACAGAACTCTAGCCTTGACAACTTTATTGAAGTCTGTGCGGACGTGTCTTGTGAGTACACCACTTCTGAAAGATCTGCTAAATCAACAATTGATAATCAACAACAAAGAAGCTGAGCGTATTTTAATGGATGCGGTATTGTATAAGACAACACATTATAACCAGGGACAATGGCGAACAAGTGCCATACATCGAGCCTGTAGTATATTGGAGCATTACGGTATCGTGTATATAATAAATAGTAAATTTAGTTGTGTCTGTGCATGTGAAGATAAGCTTTACAAATGTGTAAGCTGTAGCGATATATCTCTGGACGTAACTTTAGTTGTGTTTGACTCTTATCTATACGCCAGGGGTGTTAAAGACGAATCCCAAACAAACAGCTGTCTGTATGTTTTTTGCATAAACGATTGGAACAAAATCACCGAGATACCAGGACGGCAGTTAATTTTAGTGCCATATGAACAGAGTATCTTTATTCTAAGCAAATGCTCTTCTGAAATATATCAAATATTCCCTAAATGGGGTAAACCAAAAGTTGAAGAATTTACAAAGCTACCAGAGGCAATAAAAGTACAACATACTATAACTTATCAGAGGACGATTCTGATTTTCAGTTCTGTTACCGTCAATGGCGAAGAGAAAACAGCAGTTCATCAGCTGGACATTTTAACAAAGAAATTAACAGAATTAGAACAATTAAATGGACCAGCTGAACAGATAATAAGTTTCAGTGATGACAACAATATTTATGTATTACAAACTGTTGGAGATTTGTGGCTTATAATTAGTTCAGTTGAACCAGTCACATTCAAATTGTTGGGAAGGTTATGGACAATTAAGAGAAAGTTGTACGGTGCATTGACATACAAGAAAGAGTTGACTATCTTTGGTTCTGACCCCACCGAAGAGCCAGCTGAACAAAAACTGCTGTATTCGTTTAAAGAGTTCTTTAACTGTATAATATACTGGGGAATTGATAAACCATGTTCAAATTTTATACCAGCTACTCTACCGAAAGATGGAATGGTGCCTACCCGAAAATAAGTACAAAGTAATGTTATGAATGGTTATTGCGCTTTGGAAAGAGTTTGGGAGTGAGGTTAAGGGCTGTGCTTTTTTAGGGTGGACAAAGTTATTTTGTTATTTTTTTTTACGTTTCAAAAGATTAACATTTTTACTTTTCTTATATTAGAACTGGATACATTTGGACTAAAAAAATAGCACATTAATCGGGTGGAGTTTAAGTAAATATTGCTTTTTTTGGGCGCAGCTGACCGTAAACCTACTAATATATGAACATTATTTTATTAGTGCGTCCAACATAGGTAAAATTTAAAAAAATAAAGATTAAAATATTCCAGGCTTTAAACTGGAATAATGTAAAGCAAACAAAATACTCGATCATTGATACTTTCAACTGGTCAACATTCTTAGGACAAAAGGAATATTAATGGCATTCTCAGAATTTTACGTTAAAGAGAATCGTCTACGTGTTGGGATTATTAGTTGGCTGTCGTACAGCTGCTGTAGAGATATGCGCACAACAGCGAGAGGCGGCAATAGACAATTTGTAGTCGCTCTAAATAATCATTTAACACTTCAGGGAGGAGCGGTCCAGTGTGGGAATGATGGCTAATTGTGATGTAACAGTACTTATTAAGTAGACCAACGCCAAAAGAATCTATGTATGTTTAGGTTTTTTTTCAATTTTTTTAATTTAAATATCTAATTTATCAGGATAGTTTTATATTGCTTTGATATATTTTTTCATTTTTTTTTTCATTTTTATTTTTAAGAGGTTAGCTTTAAATATATTTTTTACTAAGAGCAGGTTATATTTTAAATTTATTTTATCTCCTATTGTTGGTAATTGAAAATAGCGTTTAAAATATGTATACTGGTGATGCGAATGATTAATTGTTTTGAAAAAAAAGTGTTTGTAGGTTAATTCGTTTTATTATTAGATTGAGTTGGATCAGTAGGGGAAGCTAAAATAAAGTTGCAGAGTTGTGACTCTAAATCGTAAATATAAAATTGTTAAAGAGGGGTCGAGGCGATATCCTTAGTTACTATATCGGATAAACCCGAGCTTGTGATTTTGATAGTTTTAATCAATTATACTTTGTTTTATACTTTGTTTTATACTTTTAATTTACCGTTCAATACATTTTACGCCATGTATTTGATCAAATACCACAAGTTTTGTTTTACATTTAATCTAATTTATATTTATTTTCTAGACATCTATATACTACTAAAAGTCAAGTTTGTTTACATGTTTGTGTATTATTTATTTATTTTTTGTTTTTTTTTTGTTTGTCTGTTTGGGTTTTGAGAATTTTGATAGTTGAATACGTTCCGCTTCCGGTTACCGGAAATCGCTGAAAAGTTACTACATAACAACACATTTGTTTGCACGATTACAATATATCCTATATGCTTCGTATACAATTAAGTAAAAAAAAACGGAGTTTTGCACACCTAAATAAAACTTTAGAAAAAAATGTATCTCTTTCATTTAACAGCATCCGTGTTGAAGGAGGAAATTAAATTTCATATTTTTATTTCTTACATTTTTAAAACGCTATAGGCCTCATTGAATATCTTGTTATACAAAAAGTCTTATACAAGCAATAAACAGTGCTTATAGCTTACTAATTACTATATGTTTATATTTCATATCTTATATCTCTTTGCTAAGTTACCAATAAAAGGTTATTTTCTTTTATATTTATCAGTGCATGGTAAGTTACGGTTTAAATGTTTTTTTTGGTTCATTGTACTATAATAATTCCAACGATAAGTTGAACAAACGATAGTAAGATTCGACTACATTCACGACCTAATCCTAAGACAACAAGAACAAGACGATCTAAACTTTTTCCCCGGAAACAACGATCCGCGTCACATCTTCTTATATTCAACATTTGTCCACAACAATATTTGTTCGCACCTACATGCCTAATCAAACACACATTATAACATTAGTCGCTATGCGAGGGCTTCACATTTCATACTATTATTGTGGGCGTTCCACTACAAATAGTCACGAATATAATAGACGGGATATTATTTCTTTATGGGATTTTAGGTTTACTCAAAAGTGCTAATAATTTTAAGTTAGAATCCAAGTAAACTGCTCATACAAACTCCCTTCCTCACCAACAGCATATGTTATGTTCGCGTTTATATTTGCATTATTTTCCGAGTAGTTGTTTGCGTTTGTGTGTGTGTTGGAGTTTGTGTATTCGTTTGTGTTCACGTTTGTGTTTGTGTTTCCGTTTGGTTTTGATTGTGATTGATTGTACTTAGAGTTAGTTTATAGTTAAGGTTATGTGTGATATTCTCAACCGTCAGTATGTGATTATTGTTACTTAATTGGAAAAGCAATACATTTCCTAAACCCTGGCAATGCCGGGTATATGCAACTTTATTAGCACACAAGTCACTGCCCTTTACAAATAATTTTTACCTCAAACGCCAGTGCACGGACTGGCCGGGACGGCTAGTTTACAAAAAAATATAAAAACCCAATATGCCAATGAAGATTAAATTTAATTACACATGTATGCAGACTAATAAAATGTTATTCTTCGACTTTACCTCAATTCTTTTGTTCAAACAAATTAATGTTTTAAAATCATTGTTGTCTTTCAGATTCTGAAGGTCTTTTCATTTAATGAGCAGAGCAGATTTTCTTTACCAGATATATATTTTTTTTTTGAAAATTGCACATCTTGTTTCAAGTGTTACATAAATTGATCTGATTTTAAAAAGAGTCATTCCAATTCTAACAATGGGCAAAGTATATAAAAGGTCCAATTGCATTACTAAAAATCTAGAAAGCTTACTACTTGAAGACGAATTGTTGGATTTTGCTGTAGAAGTTGAAGATGTTAAGGTTCGGTGTCACCGAGTTGTTATGGCAGCGTCTTCAGATTTCTTTAGAGCACTGTTACGGTGTGAAATGAGGGGAGCAAATGATGGATGTGTTACACTAAATGGAATATCAGAACCAACATTTCAACATATTTTAAAGTCAATATATTCCGGAACTGTTATTTTAACGTTAGACAATTTTATAGACGTGTGGAAAGCGGTGGATCAGCTACAAATAGAATTTATGATAGCAGATTGTGAAACATTTGCCTTAAAAGTAATGTCAGAAGACAACCTTGTGAACATATGGACGTTGGCGGACAAGTTACAGAAACAAGAGATCATAACGAAATGTGAGGAATTTGCTCTGAACGTTTTTATCAAGAACTTTGAACACATTTTTAAAACAGCAAAAACCGTAGAATCCAGAAAAGTAATGGATGCTTGTAAAAGTTTTATGTTAAAAAACTTTGATGGTGTAAGTAGGATGGTTTCTATTATGGAACTTCCTTTTGAAGAGTTTCTGCGTTTGATTGAGAGCCGAGATCTTAATATGAGTTCGGAAGATACAGTTCTAGAGACGGTGATAAAATGGGTTAAGTATGTGCCAGAAAACGATGTGGAATTTGCTGTCCTCAAAATGAGCTTAAGCGATTTCCAATTTGAGAAAGGTAACGATCAAAGTACTGAAGAAAAATTGGTTGAGGATTCCGGTGATAGTTATCATGGCGTTTCTGACTGTGTTGAATTACCTATAGATGAAAGTCATAATTTGTTAGAAGTTGGTAATAGGATTCAATTGTTGGCAACTTTATTGAAGTCTGTAAGGACCTCACTTGTGAGTACTCCAATATTGGATTATTGTCTAAAGCATAAGCTAATGCTTGACAATACTGAAGCAAGAGATATTCTGATTAACTGATTTTCAGTTGTGTTACCGCCAATGGTGTAGAGAAAACTGCAGTTCATCAGCTGAACATTCTAACAAAGGACTTAACAGAATTAGAACAATTGAATGGACCAGCGGAACAGATAATTAGTTTCAGTGATGACAATAATACCTATGTACTACAAACAACTGGAGATTTGTGTAGAATTGATTGTTTAGCTTGACATGTTACATTCAAATTGTTGGCAAGATTATGGGATAGAAAGCGAAAACTGCACGGTGCTTTGACATACAAACAAAAGCTAATTATTTTTGGTCCAATGAATGAACCAGCGGAACAGAAACGTGTATCTCAGTTTGAAGGGTATTTTCACGACATACACTACTGGGGCAATAATTCTCCCTGTTCGGATTTTATTCCAGTTGTTCTCCCAAAAAAAATTATGTTGCCAATTGAAAAGAAATAATAGGTAATGTGTTGCTTTTCTATAAAATTTTTAAATGTAAAACATTCGTTAAATAAATGAATAAACACAACGCAGGCCTAAAATCGATCGCAACAATGTAATGATCATATCAGTATACATACATATATAATATATAATATATAATATATATTAATATATATATATATATATATATATATATATATATATATATATATATATATATATATATATATATATATATATATGTATATATATATATGTGTATATATATATATATATATATATATATATTCCGCAAATTTTTCGACCCATCTTTTTTTTTTAAATTACATAGTTTATATTTTGCAAATTGAAAAACTTTCTTTCATGTGTTACGTTTATCGATGCGTAGGCCTATACACGAAAGTGTTTAAAAACAGATACAGAATTCATCAATTCGATTTATTATTTAAAATCTTTTAAAAAAAAACTATATAAAACACAGTCTGATAATTAGAGAATACAACAGGTCTCAAATGGTTATAAGAACAATAGAAAATGTCTACTTTAAAAGTTATTTTAACGTTAGAGATTTATATGGACATATGGAAAGCGGCGGAACAACTACGGATAGAATTTATGGTACAAGATTGTAAACAATTTGTATTAAAAGTATTGTCAGAGGATAACTTGATTCCAATATGGAAGTACGCGGACAAGCTAATGAAATGGAAAATTATGAGAGTCAGAAAAAAAAAGCTTTGGATGTCTTGTCTCTTGACAACTTTGAAAACATTTTTAAAACACCATTAGCGGTATACTCTTCTGATGTTGTGCTTGCTTGTAAAAGTTTCATGTTTGTGACTATAATGGAGCTTTCTTTTGAAGAGTTTCTCAGTTTGATTCCGAGTCGAGATCTTAAAGTTAGAACTGAAGATACAGCTCTAGAAACAGTGATGAAATGGGTTACGCATGTTTCAAAAGACGATAATATTGAAAGCGCTATAATAATGGGTTTAGTTTTTAATGATTCTTATTCAGATAATTTAGAAAGCTATGATAGTGATACAAGTAACACTTCTATTATGGACTTATCTGATGACAACGCAGACTGTATTAACGCAGCGCCATGTGATAATACAGGCGAGAATAACACACTTCATGCTGAAATTAAAGGAAACTACTCAAATTCCTCAGTTGAAGCATTAAAAGAACTATCTAATACGCCTGAATTAACTAAAAGAATCTTCCAGTTACCGAATATGTTAGAGTCTGTTAGAACGTCATTAGTGAGTACTTCACTTTTGGAATATTTCCGAAATCATCAATGGATAATTAACATTAAATTTGTTTGAATACTTAAAATGGATGCTATATTGTATAAGACAACACACTATAACCAAGGGCAGTGGCGAACATCTGCCATACATCGTGCCTTTAGTGAATTTGAACACTGTGGCGTTTTGTATAATGTTTATAAATTCTTCATATTAGCCGCATTTGATGGAAAGCTTTACACGTGTGTGAAAGACAATATATATCCCAGGAACAATACTTTAGTTGTTTTTTATTCTCATTTGTATGCTGCGGTGTGAAAGTTCAATATGAAACAACAGGGTCTACGACAAATTCCCAAAAAAACACTTGCCCGAATGCCGTTTCCCGAAGGCCGATTTCCCGAATGGACACTTGTCCGAATGCGACAAATGCCCAAATGGACATAGTTTATATTTTGCAAAATATTAAATTTAAATTGATTGCGAATGATTATTTGGTAATATATATTATTAACATTTTTCGGGCAAACGGCCTTCGGGCAAGTGGCATTCGGGCACCTATCGCATTCGGGCAAGTGTCCATTCGGGCATTTGTCGCATTCGGGTAAGTGTCTATTCGGGCATTTGTCGCATTCGGGCAAGTGTCCATTCGGGCAAGTGTCTATTCCGGCCTTTTTGGCATTCGGGCAAGTGTCCATTCGGGCATTTGTCTCAATCGGGCAAGTGTCCATTCGGGAAATCGGCCTTCGGGCAAACGGCATTCGGTATGTGTCTTTCGGGAAAACTTCCGGCTCCCGAAGCAACCAGCATTGTATATGTTTGAGCAGTAACTCGTGAAACACAATAGTTAAATTACCATGGCGCCAGTTGATTTTAGTGACATATGATCATTGCATCTTTATTCTGACAATAAATAGCATAGAAATATATCAAATATTCCTCAAATAGCGAAGCTTTAAAGTTGAAAAATAAACAAAGCTACCAAATACAATAAAAGTACAACAGGCAATCTGTTTTGAACGGACTTAAAGTTGAAACAGTTCCACTTCAATTTATCGGAAATTACTCAAAAGTTAATATTATGCATCTACAAATTTGATATAATACTTATGTATGAAATTTCATCAACATAGCTGTAACAATACTCAAGTTATCTTGGAACTTTTTCTGCTTTGATTTTTTCAAAAGCCCATAACTTTAATACTATTTCAGATAGATACATACAATTTCCCATGTAAGTCAAAGATCTAATTCTCTGCCTTCTGTCAAATTTTGAGTAATTTCCTTTTACCAAAAGTAATAACTTTTGCAATTTCTGATTTCACAAAAGACGCATTCAAAATTTATAAAAGTACAAATACTATTCGCCTCTATTGCTCACATTTTTTTTTTGAGTTTACTTGGTGTTCAATTCTTTTTTCTACGAGATTCTATTCTTTTTTTACAAACTTTTATTTAACTCACTTCCTCTGTCGACATTCTGTCGACAATTTGTCGTCAGTGTAGATCGAAACGCCGGAGCGTTTGAAAGATACGGTTCGTAGTTGGTACATGGGTTAAGACATGAAGACAATGCATCCTGACATTTAATTTGACTTAATTGGATGCCTAATTAAATTTTTATGAGTTAATTAAAATTTCGACCGAATTAGTAGGCAGTTCTATCTACACGCGTTATCACGGCAAAAGCGCGTCATCGTGTTCAATAGATGCGCAATGGTTTTTAGTCATGTAACTCTATTGTAAATAGTTATTATAGTTATTTAAATAATTTATTTTCTACTTTTTAGTGCATTAGTACATAAAAGCTTGTTATTAAAACCTTTTTTATGAAAAATGTTTACAAGCTTTTATTTAAATCACCCCCCTGTCTGTCGTCAGTTGTCAGTCTGTCTAGATCGAAACGCTTGAGCGAAAATTCGGACACTTCTGACAGATTCGGTTCACAGTTGGTACGTGGGACAAGACAAGAAGACAATGCAATCTGAAATTAAATTGAATTAATTGGATGCCTAATTAATTTTTTATGAATTAATTAAAATTTTGACCTAATTAGTAGGCATTTCTACCAACCAAACCACACGCGTCATCACGTTCAATAGCGAGTAAACACGTTCAATAGGCGCCCAATGGTTTTTAGTGATGAAACTCTAAATAAAAACATGTAAAGTACTAAAAAATGTTTTCATAAAAACGTTTTAATAACAAGCTTTTATGTACTAATGCACTAAAACGTAGAAAATAAATTATAGTCTACTATTTAAATTACTATAAAGAAAAGCGTGTGTCTCTTCCTAAACATTAGTAAAGGTATCCAATAGATACTAAAGTGACCCACGCTTTTCTTATAGTTATTTATAAAGTAGTCTATAATTTATTTTCTACTTTTTAGTGTATTAGTACATAAATAAAGTAATTAAAAATGGTTTAAAATCATGTCTATATCCCGAGTTGCCATCCCCTTTTGGTTTATATAAAAATATTTAAGAAAGTTTAGGGATAGATTACTCCGGGTTTATTATTCATGCATTTACAGAAATCAAATTTAAACGACTTATATTTCAGTATACATTAACACTTTTGTCACGACAAGTTTTTGAAAGAACTTTACACGGTCTGAAAAAAAAATAGGTTCCTTTTTAGTATTCAAAAGTTCCAACATTTGCATATTATTTACCATAAACTTTTTTTCAATAAAAGCCATCACAATTACCTCGTGACAAAAGTTTTATTTTTGCAAGAAAAACAATTACTGAAAATATGGTTGGCATTGTTAAAAAAATTACTAATTTGTGAATTCAACACTACCCTCTCTTTTCCCCGCCCCCGTGAAAGCAGCCGTCCGTGACAACAGTTTACGCACGACGATGAAAATATCAAACATAACGTCTTACCTCCCTTAGTTTCAAATCGTTAAAGATCTGAATGATCTGGCCCTATTTGCCGTCATTAATTCTACCCGGTTCTACGATTGTAAACATACGGGATGAACCACAGCTCACTAGACTGATGGGGGTGGGATGATAACGAAATGGTCTGTTTCGCATACCTGCAGTGTAGGGGAGGGGGCGGGAGGATGGTTAGATAGTCAGCTTGCAGCGTCTTGTCAACAAAAATAATATATACATAGATATATCAAATTATAACAAGAACGACGTGATCCAGCAGGAAAGCGTTTGGTTGATTACACCAGAAGCCCCAAGACGGTGACTGTTACTCGTCAAGAAAAGCTTGAGCCAATGGGGTCTATGGCACATTATAATAAAGAACAAAGAAGAAGAAGAAATATCGAATCAAATAAAATGATATATATATATATGTATATATA